TAAATGTAAAGCTAAGGATGTGTGGACAAATGATTGGCTTAGCTCAGTGCATTTAGAGCATTCAACCTGTAGCTCCTAAAATGATGCATAAAAAAAAACCTTTTATGTTTAACAAGCATACGAGAGAAAATAGTTTCTTATAATACCCAATCAGCAGGTTAAAACATGGACATGAGTTTGAATGAGCAAGACAGACATTTTTTACCCAGCCACAACACAATCTTGCTTAAAGAGACACTAAACACAGGATTTAAATCATAAAAATGCATTCAAGTACCTTAACTATTAACAATACTGGAGCTTATTTGTGTAATACTTGGCTATAGATACTCAAATCATCTCTGAATTGGTGCTGACACTGTCCTTCCTTCTGGAGGGGGGCTATTTTTGTTCCTTATTGTCCCTATGTGTGTTGTAAAGTAGTCACCTCTCCAAGCTCACTCCTGTGATGGACTACAATCTCATGTTTAGTCTACTAATTTGTATTTTAGTTATAGTCCATCATGGGAGTGACCTTAGAGTGGCTACTTTATAACACACGCAGGGACCATGGGGAACAAAAGTAGCCACCCTCCAGAAAGAAGGACAGTGTCAGCACCAATTCAGAGATGATTTGAGGATCTACAGAAGAGTGATACACAAATAAGATACGTTTGTGTTAATAGTTAAGATACTTGAATGCATTTTTTATAATTTAACTCCTTAGTTTAGTGTCACTTTATTGAGTGCAGTTGATTTAATAAACGAGTCGGGAATGTTCACATGGCTTAAAGAATAAAGTGAAGCTGCTTTCACTTCAATCATTTGTTGTCTAATGGTAACCAATCAAATTTACATGTACAATGGGAAAAAACAACAACTACGGAGTGAAGGTTTGAACTGATTAGCTGCTTGAAGGCAATCAGAGACTTTCTGTTTCAGATATTTTAATACATAAGGTCCATGGTTTTAGAAGTTTCATGAATCCAAGCATGTCATAAAACCATGTGTAGCAGTAGACATTAATGAAATAAGCATGCAGCACATTTCTATCAGGAATTTGGGTCAGAGACAATACTTGCTGAAGTCTCTTTTGTGCCTTTTTTATGGCAGACATGACAGCCAATCCTGATCCAGACTTTGCTCACGCTCTGTAGAAAAGAGAAAGTCTGATCATCACACTTAAGAATTTTAAACAAACTGGCTTCCAGTCAAGCACAACACCAAGTGTCCACAATGAAAAGAGCATGTCACAAAGTGAAGAGGGTACACAGTGATCTTTGACTTGTTTGGCTGGAGCTCCTTCATCCATGGAACAAACCGCCGTTATGAAACTATGTGTGTCGTTCCAATAATGAAGGAGCTTTTAGTGACCCGCTTGCCATCAGAGGTTCTGGGGATGGTGAATATGAATGTTTATTTCTTTTTTCTTGAAGGACAAGCAGAGTCTGGCTGGGGCTGACTGTCATGTACCCAAGGTAATGGTGACTAGCGGACACTGCATCCCACAGTGTGCTATGGATACTGGTAAACTCCAAAGGCAGGGAGTTGTACATAGAAGAAACAGGGTTCTAAAACACATAGGGTATAACAACCAAGTACACACGCCTACTACTGTAAAACCTTACTCTGCTTAGCCCAAATAAAAAGCATTTGGAATTAGTAATTTCATGTCAATATGTTGTGTATGGATACATCTAGGCTACTATACTGTTGTACAATAATGTTGTAGAACAATAATGTTGTGTAGATGTAAAGATGCATTATCCACCTGAAGTCTCACTTCTATATACCCCCCTACAGACCACAACACATTTTATGTCAAGCTATGGGCCTATTGTGTCTGCCATAACTTGGTCATTAGTAACAATACCAAATTGTTTTCATGGCCCCACAAGGTTTTTTTGGTGGTCTTACAAAATCATTTTCTACATTTTCTGCATTCTAAGGCAAAAGGTATAGTAAAAAAGGTTTTTATTTTTCAGTTTCTCAGAGATAGCTTCAAAAACAACTGTGAACTCTCACCTCTATGTACCCCCTACAGACTAGAACAATGTTTACACTTCAGCTATGGGCCGTCTTTTCAAGGACAAACAAGGGTTTTTGGGTGGTTTTCAAAAATACTTTTCTACATTCTAAAAGCAGAACAGTATCATAAAAAACGCTTTTTTTCCAGTTTGCTCAAAGAAAGATTCAAAACACTAAAAAATAGTGACTAGTCCGTTCATAACAACATTAAAATATGATTCTGGAACAATGCAGGGCAACGTTATTTACAAATTAGATAAAAGAATTTTAAAACTTTTGATGAATGCTACAAAAAAAATTATAATAATAATGAATGAAAAAAATTGTATATTTACAGAAAAAAATGGGGAATAGGGAATACATTTGGGCTAATTTGATAATAAATCGAATTAATATAAATAATATTTATTTATGTAAATGTATTTATATTTATAATTTATTTACAGGTATATGTATTTATATATTTATTTATCAATATAAATTAATATTTAGTTCAAACCAAATAACATTTTGGGTTCCACTTATGGGTTTAATGTAGCTTATTTTGTGAGCAGATGAAAGGACAAGCCATGAATCTGCTTATAAGAGGTCCTGGCTGTTTTCATTCCAGCTGGTTTAGGTACAGCAGGGGGAAGCGCAGAAAGTAGCACCCTTGGTAAGTAGATTCATTCTATAACTGGTTCAAAGGGAAAATGTACTGTTGCTTCATAAATACAAAGCAATGTCAGTTGGTTCCCATGGCCAACTTAAAAATCAGCCCTTCCCAATTTCACATTGGAAGCAACAGAGAGTCTATCATCCTTAAGTTTACATTGGTCTCCCAGTCTAACCTTTGAGATCTAAATGTATTCTTGGTGCATTTTGACATCTCAGGGGCCAGGTTTTGATATAGGAATACCTGGAAGTGGAACTACTGGTAAAATCTGAAATTGCAGCATCAGATCTTGCAAAATCGTGGGGAGTAGAAGTTTTTTTTAATTGGAAAAAAAAGAAAGAAAGGGTATAGGGCATATATATCTTCTACAAGCTTGTTTTTATTCATCATAGGCTGAAGGTAGTTTAATGAATTAAGCTGTAAGAGCCATAATGGAATAAAAGAAGCATTTGCACACCCTTCATCCAAGTGCAGTTTATTGTGATTTACAGACATAGATTTAGTAGCTGAAATTGAGGAATCCATTGAGTGAGAGATTTGCATTTACTTTTTCTATGATTTACAAGAGTTAGCAAATACATGTGATTGATGAGTGATTAGGTCATTCTTTATTAAATTCTCTTACTGGGATTAAATCATTTATAATGTATTTCATAGACACTTTTCACCTTCGGAACAATTAAAAACAGGATGTCATCCACGGTGGGTTATTAGAACAAGCACGTTTAATCACCTTCGGGTAGCGGAAATTAGCTTTTTGATGAAGGATTTGAGCAATAGGTTTGATAGTGTTTTGTCCTTGTGATACAGACCAAGTCAGTAGGTATTTTTCGATACTTTGTGTCAAATCTCAATAATGTTAAGTATCCTCTTCTGAATGCATTTTGTGAATGTCTTAGTAGACCACCTAAAATGGTCCTCCTTTTTGAAGGCCATTTAAAAAGCAGACCCCAAAACTGGTGCAATTTATGATTGCATATAAATTATTTTTGTATAAAAATTCAAAAACTTTAAAATCTGCACTCAACTCATTCATAACCTTGTCTAACTTGGCCAACACTTACATTTAAGCAAAACTATTTATAGACAAACTAAGTAAATCTAGAACATATGTTAAGAGGCCACTGGGCATTAGGGTTTGACTGCTCTCCTAATTCCTTGCTTTCATCTCCTGCAAAAAGATGTGGTTACTCAAAAATGCAGCAGCCATTCAGTCAAACCACCAGTAGCCTAACAGGACCCCTCGAACCCCTATCCACATAGCAAGGATTCCAGAGAAGCGTTATCCTAACGGCTGTATGAAGATACTCTTGACCCTTGATCTCAATGTGAATTACTGATTCTTCTTTAAAAACTGCAGGATTCAATTTAACTGAAGACAATTTTCAAGTGTGCACAACAGTTTTAGACATTTGCAAATCATTAAATTTCTATATAACTATTCATGCAGGTTTGGGCTTATGTGGCAAATTGAAACAATTCAAAGATACATACCAGAAAATGCAATGTGAAAACTATTCAGTATATCACTATAGCATAGCTAAGAAACTGCCTATTAAAAACGTGACCTCTGTAAGCAGGCAATGATCAGAATGCATCTTTGAGATTAGGAGTCCCAGAAAGAAATGTGTTGGGGTTTATGTCTCAAAGAGAAGGTAGAGACGTTAACAGCTTTTCATGTCCAAAGAATGTTAACTAAAGTACTACTAAATGAGGCCAGTAAACAAAAACTTTACATATGCTAAAAAACACATGGCACCATGTTTAAAAACTCTGGGAAAACATGAATACCCATACAATTAGGGTTCCTATTAAGGGATTTTTGCCCTACCAGCCCTTGGTTGTCTCACTTGTATGGCTCCTGAATTCATTAGTGTCTGGTAAACTGCTGCCCCTACACACTCATGCTTCTGGCCTACACACATCTCTTGTTTTCTTTTTCTAGGCAATAACAACAAGAAGGAAGCAGAGCGTGATATTCCTATATCTGAAAACACATGGACTGAACCATTGGAATGTGTGGCGGGAAGTCTCTAAACCTGGAGCAAATTGAATGAGTCTAGAACAAACTGACAATTTAGTCAATGATGTATACAAATTTTGAGACATACTGAGTTTCTTTTGTGGCTTAAGATTTGACGTGGTGGGGAAATTTAGAAGACTGCTGTCATCTACTGCTGCCTATTCCTCCTTACCTGTAACACATGGTGCCACTTTCAGCTAGCTAACATAAGGGTTTACAGTACACAATGGAGGTATTTAGGGTGGAGTTTACCAGCAATGAAGACCCCAAGCAGACTGTGGGATGTGTGTGACAGTAAGGTTGTGACCTTAGTACCTTGTTGCATGAGAGCTCCAACTCCAAACCAGAAACTATTTAGCAAAGTAAAATTGTTTTCCACGACATCGGAATCAGGGTTGCACGGGTGTGGGTTATACCACTCGTAAGGGGTGAACCTGTGATTTTTAACAGAGACAGTCTGTAAACATCAGATAAACACAAAGAGCATCAGCAAACCTGAGAAAGAAAAGAAGGCATGTGAACACAAAATACATTAAGAATCATTGAATTTGCTGTACATACTTGCCAACACTACCCATTAGGTATTTGAATGTACAAAGAACATGTCCTGCTGTTGAAAGTCAGGAAGATTTACAGAAAACTAGGTCTATTGGCATGTACGTTCTGGTTTGCACATAATAAAGAAACAATGGTTATTCATTAAGAATATGCGGTTAAGAGTATGAATACAGTGGAAACCAATGCAATCAACTACATGCGAAAGTTAGCAGTTTTATATACCGTGTTTCCCTGAAAATAACACACTGTCTTATATTTTTTTGGGCTCAAAAAAACACACTAGGTCTTATTTTCGGGGTAGGTCTTATTTTTTTTTTTACCGTACAACAATCTAAAGTTAACGCAAATCAAAATTAAATAATCCAAAATGGCAAAGTTAAGAATAGTGTGATCGGGGCAATCAGGGGGTGCCGTACCTCTCCAAGAGCAATTTGGTAACCAATCGCTGGCCAGAATGAGCGAAACGAACTTTCACTATCGATTCCTCGCAGGTGGAGTGCATTTGGTATCACTCCACCTGAGACAGGAGGCGGGGCAAAAGAGGAGGCATCGGCTTATGCGGCTCTGCTCCCTCCGCTGCCGCCTCGCTTCCTCTAGCGCTGGCTTTATTGGCACCGCCGATTCTCTCCCGCCTCTCCTGCGGCTCTTCAAGTTCCCCCCCTTATGCCACCACCAGCCCTGGGAATGGTCACAACTAGGTCTTATTTTCGGGGTAGGTCTTATATTTTAGCAATTCCCAAAAATAGTACTAGGTCTTATTTTCGGGGTAGGTCTTATTTTCAGGGAAACAGGGTATGTAAAAGCCACCTGTGATTAGACTCAATGGCGATAGCTTCCAGAATCTTACAACTGTAATTTTACATATTGAAAACAGAACTACAGATAAAACGAAATTTTAATTCTGAATGAAGTAAGAAAGAAGTAGAACCTTTGTCAAGCTTTATTGCTCTTTGTGTCCTAAATGGAGATTAGGGATTAGTGAATGTGCCTAGGTTTTGCCTAGGTCTGTCACTGCTAGCTCCGCCCAATTGTTTATATGTTCCCGGATCTGTCAAAATGCCATTCTGTGTTTGTCGCTAGAGGACGGGACGACGGTCATCTGTTTAAAAAAAAATTATTTCTATTTATTTTTTATTTTATTTTTGATTTCGTCGTGTCGTCGTCGTCGTGGACAACGCTGGATGTCGTGATTGACCCTGGATTACGTCGGTGGATCCATTAAAAAAAATAAAATAAAAGGACTTTTTCAAAAGTGTGGCCTCTTTTGTAAAACTTGTATTTAACCCTTTCGTGAATAGGTACCCCTTACTCATTCACAAGGAGGGCCGCATCTGGGTGCCCCTTTATTAAAGGGGTAATCTGATGTGAATACGCCCCCTGCCCGCACCGCCACAAGCAACGCCCCAGGGCTTGTGGGGAAGAGGCCCTTATCCCATCGGCCACCCTGAAAAACCACCCTCCCT